CACACACACACACAGGAATATTACTAAGCCATGAAAATTTTGAAATCTTGCCATCTGTGACAACATGGATGGATCAAGAGGGTACTATGTTAAGTGAACTAAGTCAGAGAATGACAGATACCATATGACCTCACATATATGGAATCTAAAAACAAAACAAAAATGAGAGCAAATGGTTGGTTGCCAGGGAAAGGGGGAGTAGGGATATGGCAAAATAGGTAAAGGGGATTAAGAGGAACAAACCTCCAGTTATAAAATAAGTAAGACATGGGGACGTACTATACAGCATGAGGAATATGGTCAATAGTATTCTAGTAACTTTGTATGGAGACAGACAGCTACTAGACTTATTATGGTGATCACTTCATAATGTATGCAAATGTCAAATTACTATGTCGTATACCGGAAACTATAATATTGTACATCAACTGTATTTCAATAAATGAAGAACATTTATACACATAAATAAATTTACATGAACAAAAATTTTTTCTCGAGAGAAAAAATAAAAACAGAGGCCATATAGAAACACGCAAAAAAGTAGGTCAATGTTTTAGAACTCGCACAGTACACAGCTGATATTAAGGATAATGGAGTTATTTTTAAAAATAAAAATTGTTTATCACATAGCAATCATTCTGCCAAATAGTTTACAAACTGTATTCACATCTACTATTTTAACTGATACTTAACCTTGTTAAGTAGGCAGGACAAGTTCTCCTCACACCTCCTCCAACCCCAGGGTTTTAAACCTAAGGGGAAGAAGTCTTACAAATAGTGAGTAACTTGTATGGGATCCATACCTGGACCTCCTGCCTACAAAATCTGTGAGCTTTCCATTTTAGTCTGTAGCCTCTTCTTTAAACGAAAACATAAACCTTTCATTCTTTCATTCATTCATTCATTTATTGTTGGGGGGAGGTAATTAGGCTTATTTATTTATTCTTAGAGGAGGTACTGGGGATTGAAGCCAGGACCTCATGTATGCTAAACATGAGCTCTATCATTTGAGCTATACCTCCCCTCCTCTTAAATCTTTCATTTAAGATAAACAAGTTTATACTGTATAGCACAGGGAAATATATACAAGACCTTATAGTAGCTCATGGTGAAAAAGAATATGAAAATGAATGTATATTCATGTATGACTGAAAAATTGTGTACACCAGAAATTGACACAACATTGTAAACTGACTGTAACTCAATTAAAAAAAAATCTTTCATTTAAAAGGATGTTCATATTACCTGTTTGGGGAGAGTCTCTCCTCCATTGTTACATGTAACTTCTTGCTCTGCTGAGGTATCTCCTAATTGCTCTGCCAAGTGGTTTCCAGAAAGGAGGAGATAGGTAATATACAAAAGAAGACGTAAGTCAGGTATAAGGCTAGTAGGAAAGCCTGACTCAACACAGCTTTCCATTTCTAACTGGGAATGTTGTTGTAAAAGGGATGACAGCTCCTCAAGCAGCATCAATGAATTTTTAAAATGTAGAATAGTACAGTTAACCTACAAGTACTCTCATCCAATTTCAAAAATAATCAATATTTTGCTAATTTTGTTACACCTAAGCCCCCATTCCCATTATTTTCTTTTGGAATACTTAGTAAAAACCCTAAAATGGGATTTCACTTTTGTAACACTTGCTGATAAGGATTTTTCTTTACAAAAACACTATCTCTATTACACCTAACAAAATTAACAATAATCCTTCAGATCATTCCAGACACACAGTTTGTACTCAAAATTACCGAAATGTTATAAAGTTATTCTTTACAATAGATTTATTCCAATCAGGATCCAGACAAGGTCTCCAAATTGCTGTCTCTTAAGTCTTTTTCATTTATAACAATTCTCCTTCACTTATTTCTATGCTCTCCTTGTGACTGACTTGTTGGGGCAGATTTGGTCATTTGTCTTATATCTTCAATTTGGCCGATTGCTTCCTTGTGGTGTTACTTACTTATTGCTCCATTGACTACCTTTCCTATAAACTCGCAGTTAGACCTAGATGCCTCAGTAGATTCAATTCTGTTTTTTGGGAAGAGAAGGGGAAGTTAGAATATCTACGATGTGTGCTTCTGATCGCACACATCAGGAGAGACTCTTACTGGGTTCAGGTGAAGTCAGTCAGACACCTAGACTATCTAGTACCTCATCAACATTTCAAAACCTCCACTAATGATCAAGATGGTGATTTTAAAACTTTAGTCATTTTTCTTTTTGAGGCTCAAATTGTCTCATTGCTTTAAAAAATCTTTTACTGAAAGGTAATATACACAAAGAAAAGTGTATCTTAAGAATTCATTTTAGTGACTTTTCACAAACTGAACTATAAACCAGAACATCACCAACAACCCCCAGAGCGTCCCTCATACCTTGAGGACTCCTTACATCTTGGGAGGGGGGAGCCAGGGAGGTGAACTTGTCTCCACCAAAGTTTAGGTTACTTTACTAAAGTTTAACACCATTGACTGATTTTGCCTATTTTTGTATATAAATGGCATCTCTGAGCTATCCACTTGTTACGTCTGCTACATTTGTTCTACACTGTTTACAAGATTCTTCCATACTTATATGGAGTTGTTAATTCATTGTCACTGCTGTACAGTGTTTTACTATGTAAATTTGTAACAATTATTTATCCATTCTGTTCCTGATAAGTATTTGGATAGTTTTCAGTTTTTGCTATTAAAAACAGTGCTATTATATTCTTGTACATGTCTTTCATCAACACGTGTACTCATGGGACATTTTACATAAGTGGAATCATAAAGTATGCTGTCATAAATATTTTCCTAAAATTTTATGTAATTTTCTTACATTGCTTATAGATTTCAAAGTATTCCTTACTCCTGGTTTTTATCACTTACATATTTTTCCAATACTAAATGGTTTCATTTTTCACACTAGATCACTGACCCCTTATATCCTGGTTTACAGCATGAGGAATGAATCTAACTTTGTTTTCGAGTTAGCTATCCAGTTTTAACAATAATACTAATTTAAAAGTCTGATTTGAGATATTCTCTTTACAATACATTAGATGCTCATATACGTATAGGTCTTTTTCCAGATGTTCCATTTGTAGTATGTCTTCTATTTTAGATTTGAATGACTCCATTTATGAGGTATCATTTACCTTCTTCCTCTATTTCCTTCCTGTAAACTGTGCAAAATGGTTATTGTATCTAGAGTCTCAAGTTGATTCAGGGGGTTTTTTGGTGGCTAGTACTTCCTAGGTGGTATGGATATTTTTTATTGCATCAATATGCACATAAAGTGGTGGTTTCACTCTTCAAAATGCTAAGATTAATCAATGAGTTCTAGCACTGTCAGTCTTGTTCCTCCAGTGAAAAGAATGGTTGTAGGATTCGCTGATGGTCTTTGCCTAGATACATCATCTCACTAGGAGCCATAGAGCCCCACCTATCATTCTTGCTACAATTATTAGCTGGAATTTTTCTATTTAAAAAAAATTTCCTAGGGGTGGGTGGGAGGGATGAATAGGCAGAGAACAGAGAACTTCTAGGGCGGTAAAAATACTGCATATGATATTATAATGATGGATGTATGTCATTATACATTTGCCCAAACTTATATAATGTACACCACCAAGAATGAACCCTAAGGTAAACCATAGACTTTAAGTGATTATAGTGTCTAATAAATGCACCATTCTGGTGAATGATGCCAATAATGGGGAGGCAATGCATATGCCAGGGGCAGGGACAAAGGGTATATGGGAAACCTCTATCTTCCTCTCAGTTTTGAAACATAAACTACTCTTAAAAAAAAAAAAAAAAACAAATGAACAAACACACAAAAGACCTTCTTCATCAACGATTTGGTTTTTCCTGATACAGTTCACAAAGGAAAGGTGGGATAAATGTTTAATCCTTGATTTACCAGTTTTCAGAGCAATGAGTCAGGGCTCTAGTAACTTATGATGGTGATAAGGTTTGGGTTTTTTTAAGTACACAATTATGAATTTATAGATTCTCACAGATTTGATATATTTCAATCTATAATCCAAAATAACATTCAGTATTCTTTTTAATGCTCAAATTGTCCCATCTTTGGCCACTAGGGTCTCCTTTAGAGTTGCACCTGAGCCTACTGACATAACTGACATGATAAGACTTAGGTGACTTCCTTGCTTTCTAGCACAATTAAATGCCCTAGGCTCATCTTGTGTATTTCTTTTTCTTATCTTTTCTTTTTGTATATTTCTTATCATAGACCTGGGAAGCCATTTGTCCAAGAAGCCCTGGCTCCCTTTGGTGTGAAAAGACCACAATGTAGGTTATCAGAGGGTTTTTAATGTAAGCTTTAGGGGTCCCTGCCCATCTACTGCTAAATAAAGTTCCACTTGCACAGTATACAACATTACACTAAGACTTAAAAAGTAGCAGACTAGACAGGGTGTTTAATTTACAAAGTTTTTCTTTTGAATAAAGAATCTATTTCATTCTCAGATTTCTAAGAAAATGAAAAGGAATATAAAGTGCCACTATAAAGTAACCAACTCAATTCAATGGGTCACAAATCACACTAAATTGCAAGCCACATCAAATCTTCTCTATACAGTTATGGCCAGTGAAAGCTTTGACCTATAAAGCAGTAATCTATGATATTTGGGGGCAGAAAGGAAAGTACCAAAACACAAGTCTAGAGTTTCTAACCTTCTGGAATCTAACTTTTCTGGATGTTAGCCTTGTGAATCATCCGGATAAAATACTCACCTTCTAAAACAACAGCTCTAGGTTCCTCTGCCTGGACAACCCCCTCTTCATACTCTGTGGAGCTGTCACTGTCAGAATCAGAACTCCCTGATCCCTGCAAGTCTACAGAGACTGGATTCCTAGTCTCCGAATCATAAGAAGTGGTTGGAGAATGAGGCTGCGTCCTGCTCACTTGAAAGTATGCATCCAACGGTGCCCTCAACCTATGTAAGCAGAAAGACAACAGAATTCTAGTAAAATACACCAACATCACAAGAATAATCCATAGTAATTTGGAGGCAAATCCTAGTCTTTTCAACTCCTCGCCAGGCCATTAAATGCTGCCTTTGAACACTGAAGCAGGAATAGCAATTTAGGCAGATGTTGACTGGCCTGATATGCTCTTTTCCACTCAATTATTTCATTTAGCCTACAATGGAGCTTGATCCCTAAATTAAAAGCTAATTCTACTCTATTGGCCTTTCTTTTGTCAGTATCTTTTAAAGACATGACTCATTAATATATTTTACTTAATTAATTAAGAAAGAAAGGAAGACAGACACAACTCAGCAATTGGTCTGCTGTTATTAAGAGGTTGAAAAGAGAGTGGGAAAGAAGAAAAAGGGCCCTGTTGATCATATATGGCCTTACGTGATTCTGCTGCTATTGCTAAGCAGAATGAAGTCTTTGGAATACAGTATGAAGTCTGGCTTCAGTCATCATTGTTTCACCCCTTATTTTAAGCCATTCTTCTTTTCAAGCTAAATAATGTCAAAGGACAAATATTCTTTTGCCTGCTCAAACCTGCTGTTCAATTCTCTTGGTGATTTTTTTTTCCATTTAGTGTATATGTCAACTATAGCATTTCTACTTTGTACATTTTTATAACTTCAATCTCTTTACTGAAATTATCTGTTTAGTGACACACTGTTATAATACTTTGCTTTAGTTCTTTGATTATATTTAAACAGCAGATTTAAAGTTTGTCCAGTAGGTCCAATATCTTGACTTCTTGGTGTACAGTTTCTATTTTTTCTTATTTTCCTGTGTATGTTATATTTTCTTTACACACCTTGTAATTTTTTCTTGAAAACTGGACATTTCAATAGTGCAATGTGGAAACTCTGGAAATCAGATATACCCCCTTCCAGGGTTTGTTGTTGTTGCTATTTCCAATAGTTGTTATTGTTTGTTTAGGGACTTTGCTGAAGTAATTCTGCAAAGTTTGCATTCTTTGCTGTATGTGGCCACTGAAGTTTCTGTTTGGTTAGCTTAGTGGTCAGAGTTCATGACTAGACAGACATTTCCTTAAATACTTGGAACCAGTAAGACCCCTAGTCTTTGCTGAGGGACTTGATGTGTGTTGGGGCACGCTGTCAATAATCAGTCAGGCAGGTGACAGCTCTGCCTTTGCCTTCATTTCTTGCTTACCCAGAGCCTTGAGGTCAGCCAGAGTTGTGAGCTTAGTGCCTTCTTAGGTCTTTGCTGAGCATGAGCACAGCTGCACATGGCCCCAGGCATGTATGTGGCCTTCTAGATTCCAAGCAGTATGCCAGAGCTTTTCAAAACCCCATGTGAAGATTTCTTTCCTCAGCTTTTCCCTTTAAGATTTTTGGTTAGTCTGTTGCTCCAATGGTCATCCACTGCCTCAGGCAGACCCTGGGAAATAGGCTTTAGGTTTTTTGCATTGGGCAAGTCAGAGACAGCCTTTCAAGTGGGATCTTCCAGGGACCACCAAACAGGTCAAAGAAAGAGAATTCTTTGGGAATGAGGCTTTGAAGGAGCTTCAATTCCATTCCACTCTCTTTAGTCACTTCCAGCCTGTGGCTTTTCACTGTGATTGCAGGCAGTTAGTTTTCAAGACTACTATGGAGCCGAAGAAGGGGATGGGAATAGGAGATGCCACAAAACTCACTGGTCTTACTGAGACACAGCTGTTTTTCTTTAATAATCACTCCATGAATTGCTACAAGTATATGTTAATTTCTAAGGCACTGAAAAGGTTGATTTTGATAAATTTTGCCAGTTGTTTCACTGATTCTATGGAGAGAATTTTCTGAGATCCTTACTCTGCCATTTTCACTGATGTCACTCAGGTTTCCTTTTCAGAAAAAAGCTAATCAAGTTTATGAACTTATTTTGGGGAATATGCATGAACAGCAGCTATAGCTATTCACGAGAATAAGCACATTACAGCATTTCCTAAGGACGTTTTAACCAAATGAAATACATAATAAAGGCAGGCTACTACACACATATCAATAGCATTCTGCATAGAAATCAGTTTTTAAAAAAAATCACTCATCAATATTGCTTTTAGTAGTAAAATAGGCATTTCCAAGATCAGGTGGGGACATAGGAAAGGGAAACTATGAAAAGCAATGGGAGGCAGTGTTGGGAGTATAGCCCTGAAACCTAAGAAATCCTCCTCTTTCCCTGCACTTACTACCTCTGAAGTAAATAATAGTATAGTAAATTCTTGACCCTTGCTTACCCTCTGTAGTCCTAAGATTCCATAAGCTCCATGGGAACTGGCACCCTGATCTGTCCTGTTCACCAATGTATCTCCAAGGCAAAAGTTCAGTCTCTCACACAGTGGAGTGTTACAAATATTTGATGAATGAGTGATGACGCTGGCAGCCAGAACCAAGCAGCCTCAAACAAAGAAACACGAGAGGAGTTTGTGACTTTGACTGAGAAGCCTGTTGGGAAAAATATCTCACTACTCAGGTTTCCCCAGTTTTGGCTTCTTGGTGGAGACTTAGGCAAAAGCTGCTTACCTTGGCCCAGGCTCTCAACACCCGGCTTAGGCATAGTCTGGTGAGTAAATGCCAAACACCATAATGAGAAATTTATCTCAAGGAATTCAGAAGGTATAAGCCATCAGACCTGGGAAAGGTCAGACTTTTACATGAATTTGTGTGGAATTCATTTACAACACAATATTTAGAGAAAAAAACTTAATGCCACATTTATCTGGCTCCAGAATCCAAGTTCTCTCCACTGAACTGCAGTTCCTTGCCTTTATTTTACTCTCTTTGTGGAAACAGACATACAACTGTCAGTTAAATAGCTTGACTGACATCCTTTAAAATCTAAATTCTGTAACTCAGTCCCTGAGCACAGATTCTACATACATCAAGCAATTTTCTGATCAGGGTTTGGCTTCTATGTGTAAATATCCCCGGGAGAATCATGCTGACCATGCCAACAAGAAAATTCGGTATCTGTGGTGTTTCTATTTTTCTCCGTAAGTTGGCATCTGGTTTATAAGTGTCACTCTCCTGTGAATTGGTTAACACAAGTGTGCCCAACCAAGAGCAACACCCCTACCCCCCACCCTAGCCAATGAATGTATGAACAACCAAGCCTGAGGACTACAATAAGAGGCCTCTTCACAGTCAGCCAGTTCCCAGGGACCCTACTCTTAAATCTCAGCCCCCTTATTTCAACAGAGTCCCCAGACTCCACTACAGTGTACTTTCACCTGTGACATAAATGTATGAAATCTTACTTTGCTTTCAAAATCTGAGAGAATGACATCTTAAAATAACAGAGTAGCATGCATTTGTAACTCTTGTCAACACTGGTCATCCTAGATGGATCACATCTAGAAGTGACCAGGCACTAGAGACTGGAACCACAGGAATCACAGGCCCTGGTATGGTAATCAGCAGGATCCACATGGAAAAGAATGCTGAATCCAGAATCACAAGTCACAGTCTCAATTCCAAAGTCACCTCAGTCAAATCACAAATCACCTCATCAGCTTTCTCACTTGTCAGACATAGGTAACTGAAGGTCTAACCACCACTTTTTAGTGTCATCTCATTATTTTCATAGTGTTAAAAAACAAATGGATCTGATTGAAGCTTCCTCTGCTTGTGTAGACAACAGTCAGATCCAGGTCCCAGTACCAGCTCTAACCTCCTCTGGGCTGTTCCTTGAGACCCTGAACAAATCACTCTTTCAGGGTCCAAGTTTCTTTCACATTTAAAATGAAGAGGTTAAATTCAATCTCTCTGAACATCATGAAGACATTTAGAAGGCCAAATGTGAAAAAAGGATTTTGAATAAAGTAGGAGGAAGTTAAAAAACAGGCAAGGCATAGACAATTGTTATTTTTCATAATAACCCTATCACAACTTAACAGCTAAGCCCTTCAAGAGGAAAGTTCAATTCAAAACTTATGAAAGAGAATTATTCAATTCTGCAACACATTCTCAGGTGAGGAGGGCTGGAATGTTTCCCACTTAGTCACATTCTATTTTTCGCAAGGCTTCTCTAAATCCAGCCTGTCCGTCTTCCAAAATCTACTGCACTACTAAGGGGAGTACCAATGAATAAAGAATCCTGAGCAAGTGGAGGAACTTTGCAAGTTAAGTACTTTCTTGATGTGCAAGATACAAATGATCTAAATAAAAGCCAGCCTCCACGGCACTGTTGCCAACAAACTACCACCTAGTTTTCAAAGCTTATTGGTGTAACTTATCCCCTCAATTACTTTGTGAAGTAAATTAGGCAGTCACTTTTATTTTCATCTGACTTACGAGGTAAAGGGAGTTCAGAAAGATTACCTGACTTGCCAAGTCACAATGCCAATTCTTGGCAGCACTGAGGCTATCATGAGTACATAAGAGTCATAATTCCCAATCTGGCATGAATCTCACAATTTATATATACATATATATATTTACCTGGCACTGTTTGTCCTCTGAGACCCTCCAGCTCTTGCCCTGCGTGAAGCTGAATTCCTCCTCCTCCTCACTCTCACTGGCCCCACATTGCGGTCTGAAGGTGGTCTCAGGAATTCTAGCATGCCATGAAGTCTCTGCAGCCCACTGATAAAGCTGTTCATTGAATCCAACGAAGATACTCGCACGGTGTGGTTAGCATCAGATCCCTGCCTCTGCTCCTCTGAAGCTCCTGGACTGATATTCTGCACATTCTCTTCTCCTGAGAGTTCCACTTCTCCTGTCAGGTCAATGGACACCTGTGGAGCAGGCTGGAGCAGGGGTGGTCCCCCTTGGCTGCTGACTACCTCATCAGGAGGGGGCTGGGGCAGGGGCGGTCCCCCTTGGCTGCTGACTACTTCATCAGGAGGGGGCTGGAGCAGGGGTGGTCCCTCTTGGCTGCCGACTACTTCATCAGGAGGGGGCTGGAGCAGGGGTGGTCCCCCTTGGCCGCTGACCACTTCAGCAGGAGCAGGCTGCTCTGCAGCATGATCTGACTGCACCTGAAGATCACATTCCATTGCTTCATGAGCCATTACTAGGGAAACAGTATTTGTAAAAAGTATTAGTAAAGCAGATAAAACATGCCATGTAGCTAATATAATCATATCTGTCTTTTAGTATATCTGTTTAAGATCATTTGTGGCAAAACTGAGAAACTTTAAAAATTATTTTATTTTCACTTTTTTCCCCCATAACAAGCACTTATGACCAGTTTTCCTGTGTGCCCTTTGAAGACATGAAGTCATGTGATCATAGCACTATCCTTTAAAATAGATCTATAAAATAAGAGGATTGAACTATTGAAAGTAATCTCCCAGACCTCTTACAGTTCTCCATCGTGGCCTGAATATGCACATTTACTAAAACAAATGCATATAATACTATATTCAATTTTAGTAGGCAACGTTCATCATTCATAGTAACAAGTTGTAAAGAATAAACACAGAAAGGACATTTCTACACTTGCATAATGAACTCAGTTACTAACTAGAAAAAGAAATTTACCTATTTTCTCCAAAAAGGCTGTGCAACCTTTATTTACCCCAACCTTTTCATAATTTTTGTTTCCTATCTCTAATTCCATTCAACAAATATTTATTAAGCACAGGTTATGTCCCTTTCATTATTTGTTTGTCTCTAATCCATTATGTTAGTCTACTCTTCAAGGAATATTTATTAAGCACCTGTCATGTAGTCAGACACTCCATAGAGGTAAACACAGGCAAATGGATAAGACCTTGTGTAACAAAGTTTCAAACAAATAGGAGAATAAACAAATCAACGTGAAAATTATACCTTGTGCTATTTGGTTTTGGGAGTGGGAAGTAAGGAAAGAAGGGTTAGCTAAAAGCCTGGAAAAGTAGTTAATGTCTCGTAGGCAAACAATCAATCAAAAACCTCCTCTCCCTATGCTACAGAAAACTGGAGAACTGAATGAGACATGCTTAAGATCAGCATGGCAGGTAGCACAGCAGTGAAAACATGGAGTTAAGTGAAAGTCTGCCAACTGAACAATGTGAGACACTTCCAACCCTTCTCACCAGTTTCCCTGCCACACAAATCCAGGACACACTATTCTGGTTTATATACATTCTCTGTGCCTCAAGGCAGGAGATTCTAAAGGCCTCTTTTCCAGAGAAAATCAGCTTAAAAGGAAAGATCTATGAATACTGACATTTGTGAATCCCCCAAGAAAATGGCTGTCTATATATCTTAACAGTAAAAGGCCACTGGTTGGTAATGTTCAGCTACTCATACAGAGCTACGATCAGTTTTCTGGGGTTCTCTCCTTAAAAATGAACAAACAGCCAACGATCAACTGACAATTGAGGAAAGCCTCCAATGTGAGATAGAGGCCAAAGCAGACAAAGAGAAGAAACTTGGAGAGAAGAAAGGAAGACAATGCAACAAACAGTAATAAGTAAGTACATAAATAAATAAATCCAAACTTAAAAGAATGCCAAGGGAAAAAAAGAACAAATCAGAAAATAAGAAAGAGACAAGATACAATAAACCTCCTAGAAGAAAATATAGGAAAACATTATCTCACATACATCTCAGCAATGTTCTCCTAGGGCAGTCTACTCAAAAAATAGAAATAAAAGCAAGAATAAACAAATGGGACCTAATTAAACTTACAAGCTTTTGCACAGCAAAGGAAACCATAAGCAAAACAAAAAGACAACCTAAGGAATGGGAGAAAATTTTTGCAAAAGATGAAACTGACAAAGGCTTGATCTCCAGAATATATAAGCAGCTCACACGACTTAATCAGAAAAAAACCCAATTCAAAAATGGGCAGAAGACCTAAACAAGCAATTCTCCAGTGAAGACATACGAATGATCAACAGGCACATGAAAAAATGCTCAATATCACTAATTATCAGAGAAATGCAAATCAAAACTACAATGAGGTATCACCTCACACCAGTCAGAATGGCCATCATTCAAAAGCCCACAAATGATAAATGCTGGAGAGGCTGTTGAGAAAAGGGAACCCTCCTACACTGCTGGTGGGAATGCAGTTTGGCGCAGCCATTGTGGAAAACAGTATGGAGATTCCTCAAAAGACTAGGAATAGACTTACCATATGACCCAGGAATCCCACTCCTGGGCATATATCCAGAAGGAACTCTACTTCAAAAAGACACCAGTGCCCCAATGTTCATAGCAGCACTATTTACAATAGCCAAGTCATGGAAACTGCCTAAATGTCCATCAACAGATTACTGGATAAAGAAGTTGCCTATTTATACAACAGAATAGTATTCAGCCAT